CCCCAAAACCCCAAAACCCCAAAACCCCGTTTGTCTAAATTTTCAACTTTTTATTATAAATATTAATTCAAATCTTATAAAATGTCAAAAAATACATTTGGAAAAGTATCGTAAAATATAGATTCCATTTATAAAGATGATCTCTGGGAAAATTCAATGGTTTAGGCTGAATTTCTTGAAACTCCTGGCAGAGATCTTGATTTCGACCAGTTAAATGAAGAAAATATGAATTACTCTCGTTTTACTGGCACTTAGCATTAATAAGCAACATTAAATATTGTGAATGAGGATATTGATCCAAAAAAATCTTTGTCTGAATTCACTAAAATAGCTGACAGCCATGAAAAAGAGAGATTTGTTTTGAAAAGATCTCGTCAAGCCTAGATAGGCTAGAGACTAATGAGAATCAGAGAAGAAATTTACAGGCTAGAGAAGGAACTCAACAATCCTCTAAATTAAGAGGACCCATAAAGCGCTTAAGAATCTATAGAGCCAACTGAAGAGCCAACTTAGAATAAAGAAAGCAAAGTTGTACTCAATCCAGCTATTCAGCATTTAAAGCAGCTTGATTAGATAAAAGACAGACTATAGTTGATGTACTAGACAAAGGGATTTCAAGTTTTAACAAAGAACTAATAGCATCTAAAGTACTTAAGCATTAATACTAAGAGGCCAAAGGATAGCAATTCAGCTCCTGGTGATGAATAAAATAAAGAGGCAAACTTAGATCTCTCAAGCTTAGAATAAATTATGCTCAAGATTTAGAAAGGAGATTTGAATTAAGATAAGTCTAATTAAGTTACATTGGTAGTTGACAGAACAAAGTAGGATATTGGAGTACTAGTCAGACTCTATAGTTTGCAAAGAAGACTGAACTTTATTAAATATGTTACTGGAGAATGGAAGCCTGTAATATTCTTTAATATCTAATTTTTAATTATAGTCCAATAAGTATAAAAACATGACAGAGCAGATTGAATATGTAATGAAGAGAATGGAAATCTTAGATGCCTAGAAACTATAATTCATGCAAAATAGGACTAAACTATTAGCTGAAGAAATTTTGAATCTCTAGGGAAACACAAAAGAAATGAGGGATTTGGGACATAATAAAGAAGAGATAGAGGAGTTGTACAAAGGAGCTATAAAAGTGAAAACTACTATGTATGAAATACACAAGTACATAGAGAGATTAGAATAGAAAAAGAAACTTCATGATATGAGTGCTAAAGTAGCCATTGATATTTAATGCCTGGAAGAATAGTAAAATGATATTGAAGCCTGTATTGGAAACAATGAAAAACTGTTTGACTATATTAAGGGAGGTATGCAATAAAATTTTGAGCTGATAAAGAAAAACATCGATTTCCTTAAAAATAAGGCTGCAAAGCAAGCTGGTAAATGAAAGATATGAATGAACAAAATGATTTACAGTATTTGTGAGCTGATATCTTAAATCTTACTATAAAATATTTCATATTCCTTATTTATTAAATACATTCATCAAATTTAATCACTGTGTGATATCCTTTGAGCTGGAATTTATTGCGCTTTTATCTAACTTTCTAATTGTCTTTAGTTCACCATCAAGTTTTTATAAATCTAAAGTATAGCCTGCTACCAAATCTTAGAGCACTTCGAACTCCTATTTTTATCTATCAAGGTCTGAATCCAAAGATTTTAAGAATAATTTCCGTTTTTAAAGTTCTAGTTCTGCTTCTTTGACTTTAGGATGTATAAACTACTACTGCTGTTGTTTTTTCTGTTCTAAAGCCTTATGCTTTATGTAAGTTTTTTATTATTGCAATTATTCTAGATAACAATAAATAATAGTCAATGTTACCATCAATAAATCTCCCATAGCTGTCAAGAATTGAGAAAGTCCTCCCGTTAATAATGAGTTAAATAGGCTGAAATTGACTCTCTATATTAACATCTTTGTATGAGGAACTAAAGCATGCCATTATTTAAATTTGAAATATTTATTAAATTAAGATTAATTTTCAATTAAGTCTTTTAACTAAGTCATCAATATTGTTCATTATTAACTTGAAGAAAGGTTGCTGTTACTCGATGAGTGTCCTATCTGCTTCTGGGATGCAAATAATTAGAATTCTAGTTGTTAGGATGCTGTGTAATGTTGCTTTCTGTTAAAGTAAAATTCAAACTCTTGAGACTACTACTGCTATTAGATGTTTGAAAATTTGGATTCTACTATCCGATTCCTAAACTTTAGTCTATTAATTGATTTCTAGCCTAGTTTTGCTCATTGATGTAGCTTTGAGAATAGTTTTTAGCCAGCTATAACTAATATACATTATCATTATAATCTTTAAAGTTTTTCTAAGATTGAATTTGGGCCATTTGACTAGGACTTTTAAGATCAAATGGCTATAGATTTTAGATTGCATTTTAAATCTTTGATACTTGATTTCTCATGAATGATTATTTTAGACTTTATTAGCTCTCACTGTCCTAATTAGTCTTGAATGAATTTTAACTTATGTTATTGATAATTTGTTGAGCTTAATGATTATAGTAAGTTCGTGGAGTAATCTTCTTAGATTAAAAAAGATCAGACTCTTTCAAAGGGCTAAACATAGGAATTGATGAGTTTGATTTTTAATGATCCTCAAAAAAGTAATTAGAATTTGATCCTCCATCTAAACCTTAAGTTAGTTCGGCTGAGGCAAACATACCCTGCTTTTATTCAATAAGTGCCCTAGGATGTAAGAAAAAGTTGCTGTTGCTATTACAACTAAGGTGTATGAGATTTCCTAGACCACCATTATTACTGCTATTTATTGAGTGCTTTGAAACCACACTATTACTATTGAGCATATTATCTGAAAGCTTTGAAATATTAATGTTGTTACTTCCCTATAGCGATTCTCTTAGATAGTTATGCTTAGCCTGTAATTTAGTTAGAGAGTTCTCCTCTTCTTTTGATTAGACTGAATTTTAACAATATTATTACAGTATCTCCTAATTTTAATTCAATGGTCTGTAAGGTTCATCTGGAATGATAACTTATATATTATTAAGCGGGTAATCATTTATCTTGTTTCTATTTGACTTTCTGTCAATTTGTGATTAGAGTAAACTAGATAATGGAGAACAAGAGACTATCAATCTAGGCTAATCCTAATATTCATTCCAACTTTAGCACTCATTTTTACCAATATTTTAAGAGGTCATATTAATCTACTATTCCATGAACTTTTTTTCCATGTTAATTATAGGAGTGCTCATTATGCTACTACTCTTCCTTTAATCTTTGCTTCTATGGTGGTGATATTGGCCTTCTTGATCACCTTGCTTTTATTCTTAATTATAGCAGTTATGAGAAGTAAAGCTAATATTTAGATTTTTCTCACATTAGGAGCGACATTAACATTAGTTTTTTTGCGAGTTACAATTGTTAAAGCATTCTTTTTTTACAGTAGTACTTCTGCTGCCTGGTATGAGAGATTTTGAATCATTAACATAGGATGCATTGAAAGATTGATTCTAGAGACTTAAGTCTTTATCGTATTTCTTTTAATACTTAAATGCTTTAACTGTTGTTATGTCTTTATTTTGACTCTAAATATTTGATGAAGGAAGATTTGGATTGCTAAAGTAAGAAGAATCATTTAAATTTGCATTGTTTTTATTATTTTGTTGGGTATTCAGAGATTAGAAAACAGCTATATTCTCTTTATTTTCAGATTGCTGATGATGAAGATTTGTAATTGAAACATTTTAATTGAATGAATTTTGCAAATTAATACCTCTCTGTTAAGATTGAAATTATCTGCATTCTTATTTGTTACAACTAAGCATGTTTTGGGAAAAATTGCTCATTGGAGTTTGATGGAGTGATTGTTTGACGCTAGAGACTTGATTTGATATTGGGTAGTCACTGTTTTTGTGTTTGCTACAAGTATGGGTCCTTCTCTTTTTACATTTATGACTTTGTGGTTATTAAGATTTATGATGATTTTTTTAACTGTGATTGCCACATTTACACTGACTATGCTTATTACTGCTTTAGTTTTGATAATTTAAAGAATTACTATTTTGACTATGAAATTTGCCTAGTAAAGGAACTTGAAATGATTATTGTAAGCCATAGCCAGTATTAACCATTCCAATTTAACTATTAAACATACTATGATCTCTTTAGAACATATTTGGATCTATCATTTGATTTGCATCACCATGTGTTGTTATGCATGATCTATTCAGAGCATTTTAATAGCTAGTCGTATTTTTCTTAGCTATATTTTAAAGTGCAAGCTCGAATTCTTTCTTGTTTAGTTCAATTTTTAATTCATTAATCATTTGATGGCTTTTTATGTTCTATTTTTGGATTTCAATCATATTTGGCATGCATTCTGTGCAGCAGCTGGAAACCTTATTCTCTGTTTGAGTTGTAGTAATAGAGGGATTAGTTTATTGATAATTGAATAAATAACTTGAATTCATATTTTTTCACCTAAGTTTACAATTTAAATAATTAATTACTTTATTTCTAACAACTAGTTTATAATTATGTTTAGCTCCCCTGGGGTTTTGGGGTTTTGGGGGTTTTGGGGTTTTTT